CTCGTGTTAACGCACGCTTTGGCATATTAAGTCCCCCAAGAACCACACTCGTACCGAAGTGTCGCTTATGAATTTCATATAATCTCTGGCGCGCTTAAAATGTCTAGACGCAACTTAACCAGAAGGGAAAATAATAAACAAAAACAAGCAACTCAAACTCAAATTACACGAAATTTGCAAAACAAAACTTGAGCGGAGAAATCCGCGATTCTGTGAGAGTGCCATTTGCATACTTATTAAAACGGAATGTGAGTCGCGCCGGATTATATATTTAAATTATGCCAAGTGACACTTAATAAGGAGCTCGAAACCTACGGATCTGCGAAATCCCACTCGCTTTCTGGATGTGTGCTCGGCATGGCAAATAGGGCGTTGGACCAGAAACATGACCACAAACGGTCGAACACAGAGCTCCAGAGACCTTCGAGGAAAACAAATAAACCTTTCCGGGGGTTCGGATCCAGGTCGAGACGTTGATTTGATTATGCCACCTTTCAACCCTTGAGTGCACATCAAAAGCATGTGGCCAGGATTCAAGCTGCGGATCTGCCTTGGGCCATTTCAACACCTCGAATTAGTGCACCTTGTAGTTTCGCTCTCGCTTTCGCTGTTCTTTGGTTGTTGTTCGAATTATAAAATTTGTCTGGACCCCGTCCATAAATCCTTAACCATCTCACGCACGTCCTGCAGACACTGGCCGCTCTTGGGTGGGATTTTGGTCAATGATTTGCTTCGTTGACTAAGCAAATTAAGTATACGACCCACGTGCCAAGAATGGCAAGCGAACGAAGGTGTTCGGCAGCCTCAAAATGTTTATAATGAGCTAATAAATACAAATTGATTGTGTGTGAAATTAAAAGCGAAAGTTTTCATCCCACTGCCAAGATGGACAAGGTTTTCAATGGGTTTCGCTTTATTGGCTAACATAATTACAAAGTTTAATACAATATTGACTATTATCCAAATTATGCTTTTTAACAAAATAGAGAAAAGGAAGAAAAAGGAATTACCTAATATTTAATTTGAAGCTATTTGTTATAAAATAAGTTCTAACTTATGTTTAATTGTTATAACATATAAAAAAACTACATTTCTTAAGATATTTTCTCTTTAAATTTGATTTGGTTTCAATTATATCTCAGATTCTGAATTAAAAGGCTGTTTTACTACGATTTAAGAATTTCCTTTGCCCCTTTTGTGTATTTATTTGGCACAATCTCACTCGATTGTGCGCTCTATTCAAAGGTTGCTCCCCAGTTTGTCCCCAGAATCGCCTCGGGAGGCCGCTCAAAAGCTCACAACGCTGACCAATTTTGACCAACACTTTTGGCCGTAGGCCCGGAGACCCATAAACTATGCATTAGCTGCCGGGTACATGTTTAAAATACCAAAATACCTAGCTCGCACGCACCCGGCCATTATGTGCATTGCCATCGCGCCGTCGTGTCTTCGGTGTCCTTGGTGTCCTTCGTGTCCTGCCTCCCGCATCGTGGCGCTCCCGTGTGGCCATCTTTTGTCTTTCGCCCTCGGTCTTTATCTGACTGCGGCACAATGACGTGGCGTATGAGTAATGGGCGTGGTGGGTGGGCGGTGCGGACTGCATCTACATAGGACTTATTTCGTATACGCGCCGCGTAGCATTTTGATGTGGCTGCCACCACACACACACACATACACACACACCAGCCCATGCCCCGAACCCATTGTGTGCCTCTCCTGCCACGTATAATAAAGTGTTTGCGACTTTTTCATTGCTCACGTACGCTTTTCATGACTGACTTCTTATGCTTTAGGTTAAGGTCCTGGCCATGGATATTCGGGCCCTCGAATGTGTGTGCTAAGCGAGTGCTTTATTTCATTAAGTTGGCTCCGTCCGAAAATCTTTGTGGGCAACTTTTGTGCTTAATATCCCGTTGTGAGTTCCGTGCGGTTTTTGCGGGATTCCTTTATAGTTTCTATCACCCGAACCGAACCGAACGTCTTCGTTTTGGGCAAATGGCTAACAAAGTACAGGGGAGCTGGCCAAGATTTCTTTTGTCTTTCGCACCCAACACTCCCTTTCCACCGGCATTTATTTACATATTTATGAAGCGAAATATTAAGAATTATATGGGGGATAGGCTGGGTCTCCGAACTGGCCTTTATCTCGCACCGAATTCTGCCCATTAAGGTGGAGTCTGAGGAGCGGAGGCATTTCTCCTGCATACTTGCCAGCCAGGAATTTTTTGGCCCAAAACGGAGAGCGAAAGGACGAAGGACGAAGGACGATGTAACCCAAAGGGCGCAGCAGCTACAGCTACTACACATTTCGAATAGCAATAATATTTGTAGACAAATATCTCGGCTGGCTGTCGTCTCCTCGGGGGTCTCCTCTCTTTGAAGGTGAACTCAAAAGTACAATCCAAGGCCTTGCGGTTGCGGGGGATTCGTTTCCATTTTTGTTCGCATCATAAATTCTTATTAATTTATAATAAAAATTTGTGAAGAGCAAGGCAGGCAGGCAGGCGCAACGGGCTCTGGAATTTCGCAAATTAATATTTCATTTCGAATGCTCCGCATTGATGCGGTCTGGCTGTTTGATACGAGCGCAAATATTGTTATCCCTTTTGGCGAAAATTGCACAAAAATTGTTGCATGCCTTGCCGTTATGCGGCTAATGAAATTCTCATCTTCGCCAAATTAATGAAATAAATGCTGAAAGCAGATCCAAAACCATATCCATTCCGCCTTCTCCACTTAGTTCGTGTGCCAAAAGCGATTAAGTCTGCTATAAATTCTAATTACCAGAGAGTTACGAGTTGGAAAATTACATTTTATTATATGATAAAAGTTAAGCTTCAACTGGACGACGATAATGTATACCCAAATAGATTTACATGCGTATTCCCCGGACAAAGCCAACCGCAAACTCCACTTAATCATGTGTCGCTGCCCCAAACAGTAGCAGCTGCCTCCCTCCCCCAATTTCCCCTCCCTCCCCCTTCTTGCTCCCCAAATCCATCTCCACTCCAAATATCCAACTCCACGGCCACTTCTTCCCCAACTCCTCCACTGTATTCAAGTGTCAGAAGTGCAATTTATTTTTATGTTGTGTAGTGTTGTTTGGCCAAAAGCGAAAAAGACCAAGCAAAGTCCAGCCAAAAGCTGAAACCAGCGAGCGCGCGACTTCCACAATACACAGAATAAACAAAAGCTGAGCAAAACTGGGAGTGTGTGGGTGGGTTGAGTGGGAGGTTGGGTGGTTGGGTGGTTGGGTGGTGCTGCCATAGTGCTTGTCCAGCTGGTGTGGCCATAAAAACCAAAGCTGGAGCTCAATGTGGTCTGCGTTGGCCAAATGAAAAGTGTTGATATATGCATGGCCAACGCGGAGGTAGAGAGCCATTGGCCGATATATCTACACCAGTCTATAATCGAACTAATAGACACTCGATTTCAGATTTTAATACACCAATTTAAAGCTCAATAAAAGCAGCAATCAACGGACATTTAGATAAAACAATGTACGATATATTGGAAAATAATTTTATTTCTTTTGAATATATTTTGAATTTGTATGCTACTAAATTAATCCACTTTTAATCACTGATATTCCGCTTTTTTATACGGACGTGTTTAAAAGTATCTAATGGCAGCTTAATTTATTTATGCGCTAATTAAGTTTGCATGCTGCCAAAGTTTTTGCCAACATTTTTAGGGAGGCACAAGCCAAAGTCAGATATGTGTAACCTGCAACTCGAATTGCAAGTGCAACAACATTCTCGATGTCACGTTTCGAGCAACTAATTTGTAAATATTCGTCTGAAGGCAAAAAGTTTGCGGTGTTGTGTGGGTGAGGGGCGGGTCTCTTTTGCCACCGGAAAACCACCTCTATCCCTGCAATATGTCAAAGGTGTAAGAACGCGAAGTGGGCTGGTGGGTTGGTGGGTGTGCAGGTGGAAGAGCCGGGCTAAAATACAGGTGAAGGCAGCTGCATGCCATGTGGGACGTGTGCGGTTTTGATGCGGTTTCGGTTTAACAGCTCCCCATGTAACCCGACGCCACCTGGGCCCATAAAATGCAGTCAACGAGCTATGCGGATAGAGATGAGTTTTGTCAGCTTAAAGTGGCTCATAATGAAGTTGCCACTGCACGTGCTGCTGCCATCGGAATTTGAATGTTGATTGAAGGGCCTGTTGACCCGTGTTAAAAGTAAGAGGAAAACCGGAGGGAGTGTAGAGTTGTAAGTATGTTATTAAAATAAGCTGATAAGTGATTTAACAAGCTTAGCTAAAAGTAACTTTTAAGATAAAGCTAAACCAATTTTATACAATTCAGAAATCAGTCAGAAATATCTTAGATTTTACCAAACCATATTCACTCAAAAACAAACTTTAAAATAAATCATCATATAGGAAATTCTGCTAAAACCTCTTTAAACTAGTTAATCAAAATTTTCTGTTTTTATAAATAAATAATCTGCAAAGCTTAAGGCATCTTAAAGCAACAATTATTGCTTATGAATTACCCAAGTTCGAGTTTGTTAAGAGCTCCTCTTCGTGGAACTCGAAGCACTTAGCATGAATTTTAATGCTGCAAGAGGCAGCGCCGTTTCGGCCTTTCATCAAAATTCAATTGTCTCCAGTTTTTGGGGCCCTCGACGCCAGTTGCAGATACCAAATACGATATCCCAGAGATCCAGGTCCGGCTGCTACTACTACGGCACTTGGGCTCCCGCTAAAACGGACAATCCGCGCCATTGTTGACCCTTTTCGGTTCTTTGTTTTTCGCTCGGCCAGCCAAGCGAGCCAAGTGGACGTTTATCTTTTGCAGTCACTGTGCACTTCTGATGGCCCGGCCAAAAGTACAAGCTGCAAGTGTATATAAACCATTTTATTTGCGCTCTGGTGCGGCATATGTTTGCATAACATTTCGTGGAGCGTAAAGGGCCCCAACTAGCGGCATAAAAAGCGCTCCTTGGGATTTTTAAGCGCGGGGAATTTCAACGCTGACTCGTCGTCACATACAGAACGCCACATCTACATATATTTACAGATTTCTTTGCAATTTTTAACATGGTCAAATTCATAAAACCCGTTCTGCCTCATGATACATATTTTTTTTTTTACGTTTTTGGAATACACGCGCTGAAAACAGCAAACGACGGCGGCGGCCATGGAAAGTGGGAGTTTTGGGGAGTGGGGATTGGATGGGTAGATGGATGGGCTGATGGGCGGATGGATGGGCGGAAAGACCGAGGCGGCTTACACGCAGTAAACCGCTTTGACCACCGATCCCTGCTTGGACATCGAGTCCCGGTGCAGCTGGTACTGCAGTTGGTGGGGCGGCAGGATGAGCAGGTCGCGCAGCCTGAGTCCAATCTCCATGACGGCCAGTTCGTTGTGCCCATTGGCGGTCCAAATTGCTGGCGGAAAAGAGGAGCTTCAGTTAGGAGTTGTCATGGTGCTCAGTGGCCAGTAATGCCCAATCCACTTTACAAAAAAAAAGCCCTTAAAATAACTATATTTTCGTTTGAAGTGAACAAAATTGTAAAAGAAATGGTAGCTATGAAGTTTTTCAAAACACAAATAAAATCTTTGCCAGAAAAATATTTCAATTATGTTACAATTTTATACATATACTTCTATTACTACTACCATTTTGATTTTAATATGCATTTTAGCATTAAATTTTAGCTACCAAGTATTAAAAAATGATTTTTCTCAGTGTTGTACTCACAAATTTTGTTGCTCTTTCCACGCAAGTTGATAACAGCGCCGCAGACTTCTTCAGAGTGCTCAAAGGCCTCACCAATCAGTATGAGTATCTGTTGGTGGGCGTGAAAGAGGTTGTGCAGTTGCAACAGATATGACAGCCAACGGACACAAAGCTCCACTGGCCACTGGCCACTGGCCACTTACCACATCCAGCCAGAGTTTGTCGAGCTCCGGCTTTGAGCCGCGCCCCATATTGATGACCCAGCGGCCGCCGTACTTGTTGGCATCATCCTCCCACATGGGCCTAAAGGAGAAAGCGATTTAAGCCGAATCGAAGTGATGAAGGGGAATAATAAGTGTTCATAATATCTTTAAATAGATAGTACAACTCACTGTATGCCCTTTTTGAACAACGAGTAATCGCTGCCTATTTTAATCTCCGATGGCGGCTTAATGTGGTTGTATAGGCTCCAAAAGTCCTCGACCATGTCGAAGCTCGTGATCTCGTTCTGCATGTCCTCCCAGGACTTGCTGCGATCGTTCTCCAGGTACCAGAGCGTCCAGGTGTTCTCCAGCGGATGCTTCAGCCGCAGGTCAACAATCTCTTTCAAGGGCTTTCGCAGATCCATTTCCGCCAACGTCTTCAACTCGGTACTGGAACTCGATCGCGACTCGGGCAGAGTCTCCGTGCCGCAGTCCATCATCTTCAGGTCCGTCTGCCTGGCCGTGAGCATTTTCGAGGGTCTTGGCCAATGGTCTACTTTACTGAGTCGAATTTATAACACGCCTGGAAACCACTGGACGCTATAGAAATTTCAGAGCACTTGGAAAAACGATTAGACGAATAGACACAACACGAGAATGTGTACTAGGGCCCGGCTACAAGACCAGACTGACACAAAAGTCACAGGGCTGTGGGGAGCTTATTTCCTTCTCCCGACTTGGCCTGGCCCCAATTCATAACTTTCATTGCACGTAAATAATTAGACACTCGTTTGGCCATTTCTTCGAGCACCCAAAAGCCCTTCAGTCCAAGTTGCTTGTCTTCTAATTCAACTCTAAACTTTTTATGTTCTCGTAAGGTTCGCTTTAAGCTGCTGCTACACAGGAAAATATATTTTTTGAGCTTAAAAACTCTCAACAGTATCTGATCATTTATTAGAATTATAGAATATTGTAATTAAATGTAGAAAAATAATAAAATAAAATGGATTTATAATATCTTGTATCCCTTCTCCAAGAAATTCATTTTCTTAAAGTATAATATAATTTTTGTTCTCTGCACTTCCTTGTTCCCTATTCCTTCATAGCCATCTTGTTGGCCTTGGTGATAAAAATCGAGCGCCTTATGCTTTCGTTCATATAAAGCGTTAATTTTATGACACAGAATGGAAGGACACTTGAGCGACTCACTGAGTCCAGAGAGAAATTTACGCACTCACACTTTTCGCCCCTGTTGCCTCCTTTCTTTCCTTTTTTCCTACGATTTTACGACAATCGAGGGGGAGCAGAGGAAAATGGGGAGAAGGAGTCACAGAAGGTGGAATTTTCCGGGCTTTGATGGTGTTGATAATGATGATGTTGTTGCTATTGCCGGAGCTGTCGTCTTTTATGTTGGCTGCCATAAAAGTGAAAATATTATGAAGCTTGTTCGAGCTGGAGGAACAATGAAACGGCTACGTAATTGCCGGCAAAGTATCTCCAAAAGGCATCTATGAGGCAGTTTTTGACTTGTGCAATTGACATTGCCGCACAACAGTTGCGATAACATGACAACCCAGAATGCTAATAATAGACAAAGCGACAATATCGAAATTGAGACATGGACTGCGACTTTAATTTGACACTTGAATGGCAGGATCCATTGCTAACGGTGATAGTGCAGCTATCCTTGCCGGTTGACAATCACCCAAAAGGAGCAGGTGAACAGCAGTTTGAACAGGAACTTCGTGTCCAGTGTAATGCCATATATGGTGACCCTGGTGCGTTCCAGAATTTCCTGTGTAAGTAATTCGTCAATCTATAGTTTAAAAAAATTAAATAAAATCGTATATCGAATTAAAGATAAATACTCACATTTCTTTCGGTTTTCTTGTGGTAATTGCTCATGTGAAAACTGTAAAATCTTCTCGTTAACCGTGATTTGCCAGACAGTATATCAAATATTTTAAACTGAAACACTATGTTCAAAGCAGAAATGGTTAGGTAATAAAAAACATTTCGATCGGTTGCACTACGGCACAGAAAAGGCAGTAACCCGTAAATAATAGCACATAGCCAATGAAATCGAAAATGTTTTATGATCCTCAGGGTCAGTTGAAATACTTTAAAACGCAGTCGAATCAATCTTTCAGTGTTCTTATGAAGTTGTTCTGCCAAAACCAGAAATTGTCCGCTCTGAAGGACTTGTGTTTGCTTTAATTTATCCATATCTTTTGAAATTCTTTGAGTGCATCGATGCAGTTCGCTAAAGCAAGCAATCAGAACGACAAACAGGCAAATATTAATTGTGATATGGAGGAGAAAGCTCAAAAAGACTCCCAAGCAAACCAGCAGCAAAAATCCATTGGCGATAGTATCATATGCATCAAATGAATATGTTCGAATTCCAAGTATCATGTTAAGGGATCTCAGCAAATGCTGTAAAGCCAAAAGAAGTAGCAGTAGGTGTCTCAGTCGGAAAATATTCGGTTGCCTGGCCATTCCTTTGACCTGTTTTTCCACTTCTATAATTTGATTGAGTAGATCTACAATTTCCTGACTTTCCATAAAACCTTGAGCTCGAACTACCAGCATTACAATGCAGCCCATAAAATATGGCCACATTTTTTCAATATATTCCAACATGTTACTTATGTTTGTGACGAGGAATAGAGACACCACGCAAAATATTAAACCGGAGTATAGTCGCAGACTGTAGGATTGTCGAAAACATTGCTCTTTCGAGCTGTAGACGAAAGTGGTGACCCCACAGATTTGGGTCATCAGCAAGATGAAAAACAGGAACTGCCGAGTACAGCGGTTGAGCAAATTCACTTCCCTTATTGCGGCTGGCCAAACAATTGATCCGAGACCCGATTTGCCGCCCTTCGAGTTGAAGAACCGAGGGCGCCCCATTTGAATTATGACCGCACTTTGGCGCTGATGTACGCGCATTAATAAGCGGTCGAAGTTTTGATGGCTTAATCGATATGCCTTCGTCGGCAACTCTTGTTCCGCGACCGCAGAGCATTCTGTGGTCACCGCTCCCGCGCTCAAAAGTACGCCAGCATTTCAGTCTTGGTTTTGCCAAGGAAGGGATTAGGTAACAAGGACTTTAATTATGAGCTTGGACGAAAGTTTAAATACCAAGAAGTGAGGTTAAACTTACAAGGAAGTTATGCCGGTAATTAGCAAATATATCTTTAAACTAATAAGAGTAAAATTGTAATTGTAAGTACATTACTATACCCTTGCTGAAGGTATTACAGTTTTAGTCAAAAGTTCCCAACGCAGTGAAGGAGGAATCTGTCCCCTGTCAAAAACCCAAAAATTGCTTTTTCGAAACCAACACTTGAAAGCCCAAAACGTTTTTTTAACGGTCTCCGATTTTGGATTGGTATACCTCAAAATGCTTGTGGCATAGTCCCCTAAGACACTGCATCATTAGTTTGGTTTCGATTTCTGAGTCGATTTTTTTCACATTTTTATGATGTTACCCCAAAACCAGCACTTGAAAGATCATAACTTATGTTTTTTCGTGGTTTCTTTTAGTGACAAAGCTTACATTGTCACACTTTGCATTTGGTTCCATTAAACTCAGCCCAACTTCTTGTATTTATAGTGCTGAAAAGTACATGCAAGTCTTGAAGAAAGTCAATACATTACACCTCGCCGGAAAGCACTCTTGCAATGCATTATCGTAATTTTACTTCACTGCAGCTTCCACTTCCATTAACCTCAATAAGTTCTGAGTTATGCTGCGTGTTCTTTAAACAGATTCGAAACGGTCTCCCCAGCCGACTGGCATATCTTTCTCTTCCCCTTTGTTTGCCGGTCAATACGCAGGGAAAACAATCTCAATCTCGTTTTACGCTGCCGTGCGGCGAGCACATTTAATTACGCAACATTTACGTTAAAATTTTATTGTCTGCATTTCTGAACCGACAACCGGCAACTGGCAACCGGCAACCGGGATTCGGGTTCAACTCCGGGTCCGGACTTGGACTCAATCCTTCGATCCCTCATCCACTCAGCTGTGGTTTCCGTTACACATTTCGCGCCATTGTCCGAGGGGCAGGGGGCGTGGTCCGCCCCCTTTTGACCGCCCAGCGCCGACATGCATGAGCTATCTTCTCTGGCAGGCTGCTCATTTTGATTCTGAAACGTCTGAAACGAGAACGCATCATTTGCGCTGCCAGCGAGTTGGCCGTGTTATTGGCATATTTTTTAATGCTGCCGACAGGACGGGCCAAACCGATGTAGACAGGAGCTCAAGGATGGAATGACTCTATCAGCGCTGAAAAAAGGCACGGGAAAAAAATAACACTGCGGTCGAGAGACAGGAAAAACAATGAGCAATTGGCCCAGAAACCTGAATCAAAAGAATCAGGTACACATCGAATATATATCACATTGAATGAGAGTCAATCTGAGGACATGTCTCTTTCAATCGTATTTCAACCGAAAACCATTTGCCATTGCCAAAAAACTGAACAAGGTAAAACCAAAATCAAGGTTTAAATCTTACTTTGTAAATAAAGAATAAAATTAAGATTTTCTTTAAGAATTTATTTACGTTAAAGTAATTAAATAGTTTTAAAAAAATATCTGACTTCCTGAAAATGTTTTCCCACTGCACTGCTCCAGGAAAATATTCCAAATATTTTGTTTAAAATTAATTTCCGTATAAAATGTTAAAGTTTATGTCGGGGGTTGCCTGCTGTTCAATCGTCAATTGTCAGTTTGTTGCATTATCAGCGTTTTACGGCTCATTTGCGTTTTGAACATGTGTAAACAAGGCGAGGCAGATGGTCGAGCACCTCTTTGAACCCCTCTCCCCCAAAGGGTTCGCCATCCACAGGATACGCCAGTTGATATTGCCGCCGGCCAGCGGCAGACAACTCATCATCATTGGCGGCAGCAGCGTTTTTACCAGCGGTGATTTATGAAATTCGCAAACAAGCCAGCAACAATTTCAGCTGCAGTTGCACGCTCGCATTTATTTTGCGCATATTTAATGAGCACAAATATTTTCGCAGTATGTAAATTATGAAACATGCACTGTGCTCCATTCGGAACTTAAAAATATGCCAATGGCGCCTTATAAAGCACTCATTACTCTCGCCGCCATACCGACAAAATTTATGTCGATTTAAAGGCCTGTCAGTCGGTGATGTGTCCACCTGTCCATCTGTCCACTCAGTGGATGTCCTGGTGGCAGCTCTCCGCGTTCCAGTTCCTCGGTATCTTGTCAGTGGTGCCACTTGTCTGCGGTCGGGATGACACTGCATGAATCGGTCGCCGGATGGCCGCAGTTTTGCGGCAGGAGCTTGGCAAAGACGAGCCATAAATTAGTCGCACGGGGGGTAAATGTGGAGTGTGCCACACACCCCATGCCCCATGATTAACTCTTAAATCTCTCCGTGTTTGAAGTGTACTTTAACCAATGATAGGGCCAAGAGACTCGGAGTATCAATCAGGTAATCGATTCCCAAATTCAATTTACTGGTAAGGCAGCCATTTTGGCCAAGCGCCACAGCTGTCTCTACACTGAAAGAAAAAGTGAAACGGAAAATTACCTTTATTCTCAATACAAAATGAAATAAAATACTTTTAAATTATGTGACAAAAAAAATATCTTTTATATAATTAATCTAGAAATAAAATGAATGAAATATGATAATAAAGATTTTTTAATGATGTATTATGTAATTTAATGATTTTATGGATAGAGTGTGAGACATTTATAATCATTGTTTTAAATCGTGATATTAAAATTCAAAGCCTTTCAATTTGAGATATGATTTATAGTATTTAAAATGTGTTTTATAAATTAATAAGTGGTATTAGGTTGCACTTTTATTTTGTGTAGATCCCATCCAGTGGCTCCCCGGAGGCCCAGATATCCCAGCACAAACAGAGGCGCAGATACCGCGCCATTGGATTCACATTCACGTTTTGTTTATTTATTTATTGCAGCCATTGCATTGTTATGCACACCAAGGCAGACAAAATAAATACCAGCACACAGAACAATAAATTTAAAATCTAATTACGCGCACCATTTAATATCGAAGCGGAAACGGAAGTGGGAGTGGAAGTGGAAGTGGAAATGGAGGTTCCACAATGTCGGAGTGTGAGTTTGTAGCCGGAGTTCGAACGTGATGGCGCCAAGTCTCCCTGGCGGATTCGGATTCGGATTCCGATTCCGATTCGGCCAAAAGGAAGCCCAGATCGAACAGTTCGCCAAAACAAATCCACACAACACATAATAAATAGATAAGCCGCGGCGCAGCAAATCTCAAAGGCGTCGGGCGAAAAGCGGGCCAGAAAAAAAGGCAATTAAAATTTTGATAAGCAAACAGCAGACGCAACTCGAATTAGTTATCTCTGTGGATGTGTTTTTGAAACAAAAACAGAAGCCAAGGAAAAAATAATAAAATTGCTTGTGGTTGAGCTTTTGACTTGCGGTGGGCGGTGGTCAGTGTGGGGTTGAGCCGGAGGTCCTTCGTTCTTGGTCCTAGGGTCTCGGAATACAAATGAGTTTTCTTTGTTGGCCTCTTGTGCATGTAATTTACACTGAACAGCAGGGTTGCGGTGCGCAGGGGGCTGATGCTGAATAGGGGCATCAACCACATCCGCAACCAAATGGTCAACATTGCTCAACTTGTGAAAAATACATTATGGTTTAAAGTATTTAATTGCACACAATTTTTGGGGTTATCCGGGCAGGCGCTTCGTCCTTGCGCCAAATGCCAAAGTCAAACGGGGGATATATATGTGTGGGTTCTCGTTCGGGGATAAACGAGATTTGCCCATTTACTTCGTTGAGGGATGGCCGATGGCTGATTTGGTTAAAAATAAAGACCGCCCTCCGCCCAGATACGCAAACAAAACGCAATTAAAACTAATAATTAATACGACAACAAGCACACGTTTCTTTGGGGGGTGGTCAACAGGGGTTTGCCCATCCACAGTTGGCGCCCCGCGGACATTTGTCAAGTGGGTGACCTTCTCGGGGAGTTCGCCTAATAAAATTATGCTTAATTTATATGCAGGCTGCGTCATTTGACTGATGCCTACTAATGACTTCCTAACAATTTTTAATATCTATGCAAATGAACATAAATTGCTGGTCCTTGGCCTCGCCGTTCGCGTTCGCCTCTTCAGCTGGCCAAATTATGTGGAGCCGGCTTCCCGCTAACTTTGGTTAACCGTTTAGCTGCCGCTGACCCCGCACAAGTAACACAGAAAAAAAAAATGGAAACACAGTATACCCGAAATGGTACACAAGTAACAGAGCAGCAAACAACAGCCAGGAGGCCCGGGCAACTGCTCTCTGGCGTTTAATTAAATGACATTATGGCCACCTCGCCGCGTTGTAGGCAGTGAAAAATGCCACTGTGCTGTGGCCCCCATTTCCCAGGACCCCAGCCCCCCCTCCCCCCTTCTCCACAGATTTTCCAACCAGCTGGCCGGGGGAAATGTGTGCATGGGGAGCTGTATTTCAATTTTTGTGGGGATTGCGTCTAGTTGCTGTCTATTATGCCGAGGTCATTATTACGCTTATAGAAAAAGTTATCCTTGAGATCATCTGGGGAGCGCTTGTTGTGAGTGTGCAAAGTGTGTGGATATTTGGCACCTAAAAGGTGTGGAGCAGCACAGAAAATCGGAGAGATTTTTCGTTCTTTAATATCCTTTTCAACCGGGAGCTTCGAGCTCAAGCTTAAATTGCAAACGCTTTTAGTCGGAGTAAACGGACTCTGAGTCGGGAATAATTGCTGCATTTCTCATGCAGATGGTACACATTTCATATTCCCTAGACTCCGTTTCTCCCCGAATGAATTTGCATTGCAAATAATCATTTTTAAGTTGCTAATGATGGCAAAACAGGCCCAGGCTCAAGGCACAGAAAG